TGGAGGAGAAGGAATTGCAGTGTGGCCATCCCCCTGGGGGTGATTTCTCATTGTCTGTCTCTCTCTCTCTGTCTCTCTGGCAAGTGCATGCACCCTATAGCAAAAATCTCTCTTAAAAAAAAAAAAATATATATATATATACTGGGTGATAGATAGGGCTAGCAGGTGGGATGGTGGTTGAGGCACTGGATTCCACATTCCCAACTCTACTGGCTAGACCTGGCAGCTTGACAAATATGCCAGCAGTGTGTATGTGTGTGCCCAAGATCCGGAGAGGAGGATGGAGAAGGAATTGTGGCATGGCTATTTCCCCTAGGGGATAATTTGAAAGAAAAACAAACCAGGTGTATGTACACATGTGCCCCAAATTCCAAAAGAAGATATGAAGAACAGACTGAAGTGTATCATCCTCTATAGGGAGTGTTGTCTCACTTTTCCTGTCTATCTCCACCACTGAATATGTGTTATAGCAAATTAAAAAAAAATATATATATATATACATACATATATATATTTGCCAGAGGGCACATGCACTCACCAGAGAGACAAAGAGAAAGAAAAAGAGAGAGAGAAAACATCCCCGATGGAAAATGGTCACACTACAATCGTTTCTCCTTCATCCCCCTCCTTTCAGGACTCAGAGCACACATACACATATGTTCACCATGTTTTTTTTTTTTAACTTTATTCATTCATTTATTTTAAAAATTTTGACCAGAGAGACACACACACACAGAGAAAGGGGGGGTGGGGGAGTAAGAAAACAAGATACCAGATCTGGGACTCAAACCTTGATTGGCCATTTGGGAGTGTCTGGCACCTTAACCACCATGCCACCTGCTGGTCCTGCCCAGCATGTTTTTAAACACCGGGTGTGGAACTTAAACCACACTGTCAGTCATGCAGGATCCAGACACTTTAACCACTATGCCACCAGCTGGCCTTCATATCAATTTTTTTAAGACACACAGTTTCTCTTCAGGTAGGCAAATGCCCCCAAAAATCTGATAGGAAAGCTGTAATATTGCTAGTGATAAATTCAGAGAAAAAAATACTTTTTATATGCCAAAATGTGGGATGTGAATGTAGAACCTCTGGCGAGCCAGAAGAATAGAGAAAATTGGTAAGATTCTAATGAAAGAGCAATACATTCAAAAACCAAAATTTGGGGAACCAGCAGTTAGCGTAATGGCTATGTCGCTGGACTCCCATGTAGTCGAAAGCAGTTTGTGTCCCGGACCCAGTGGCTTAAAACTCACGCCGGGCGCATGTGCATGCGTGCCCAAGATCCCAAGAGGAGAATGGAGGAGAAGGGATTGCGGCGTGGCCTGGGGGGGTGATTTCTCGCTTTCTGTCTCTATGTCTCTGTCTGTCTGGTGGGCACACGCACCCTACAGCAAAAAACCTCTCCAAAAAAAAAAAAAAATTTTTTTTACATCAAAATTCAATGACATGAAGTAATACAAACTATATAAAATTGGGACTATCCTTACAAGTGTGAAATACACATAATTACCATAGACATAGATGATTCAAGCAGATGAGATGGTTAAGAGAAAACATTAGAAAGAATACTTTCAAAGCAGTTGCATAGGGCAATGTGCTAGGAATTTAGAGAGTAAAAAAAAATAAGTAAATGAGAACAAACATAGCTAAATTTGTTCCTTGTTTAAAAATAAAAACAAGAGCCGACAGGTGATGTGGTGGTTATGAGCCTGGCATGAGTTTAAGTCACTGGGTCTGGGACTCGAACCATAGTCGACTATGTGGGAGTCCAGTAACATACCCATTACACCAACTGCTGGTCCCTCTTTGGTCAAAATTTTAAAAAATAGCAAATAGGGGTTGGCAGGTGGCATAGTGATTAAGAGAACTAGACTCCCACATGGCCGAATGCAGTTCGAATCCTGGACCTGGCAGCTTGCTTTCTCACTTTCTTTCTCCCTCTTTTCCTCCGTCTCTCCCTCTCTGGTCAAATTAAAATAAATAAAGTAAAATAAAATAATTCTTAAAAAAAAATTTAAAATAAAGACATCTTAAAAAATAAAGATAAAAATAAAACAAAACAAAATGGTATGACAAATCTCCTTATGTGAAAAACATATGTAGAGGGCCAGCAAGTGATGTGGTGGTAAAGGTGCTGGATTTCCACATGACCAACTGCGGCTCAAGTCCTGGGCCGGAAAATCACCACAAATAGGGGATGCAGGCAGCATGGTGGTTAGGGGCACTGGACTCTCACATGGCTGACCATGGTTTGAGTCCTGGTCCTGGACCTGATGGTTTGCTTTCTCACTTTCCTCTCTCTTGCTCTGTCCCTCTATGGTCAAATTAAAAATAAATAACTAGGGGCCAGCAAGTGGCGTGGTGGTTAAGGGTGCTGGACTCCCACATGGCCAACTGTGGTTCAAGTCTCAGACCTGGCAGCTTGCTTTCTCATTTCCTCTCTCTCTATCACTCTGTCCCTCTCTGGTAAAATTAAAATAAGTAAATAAATAAACTTAAAATAAATAAATAAAGCTAGATAAAGTAATTAATTTATATTAAAAAAAAAGCCTACTGTAGATATTTAAGAGTTCGTCTCATCTCCTAAGACATGGCCACCAATACTTACTCTGGAGGAGCCATTTTGCTAAGCTCAACATCTTTAAGGAAGTCACTCTGGAGGGTCTGTTCAGCTGTGCAACGCTTGCTAGGATCTAGTGTCAACATATGGTCCAATAAATCAAGTGCCGCTGAAGGAATGCTATAAAAACGAACAGAGAAAGGACAAGGTCACAATAACCCCATAGCTTTCAAACTGTAATCTTTTTTTAAAATTAATTTTGTTTTAATTTACTCATTCATTTACTTTAATTTGACCAGAGAGAGACACAGAGAGAGAAAGAGAGAGAGGGAGAAAGTGAGAAAACAAGCCACCAGGTCCAACACTTGAACCATGGTCGACCATATGGAAATATCCAGCACCTTAACCACCATGCCACCTGTTGGTCCCTCAAACTGTAATCTTTATGAAAAGATCTCTAAATTTCTACCTCCTTATAAAACTGTGGGAAGGGAGCTGAAAGTTGGCAAGTGCAAGCAAGCAGACTTGCTCCTCCACAAGATTTAAGAAATGCTACAACACAGGTAAAAATATGAAGACAACAGTTCCATTCTCTATTTTTCCTTGGGAAGATCAAAAGAACTATGAGAAAACTTTATTGTTCAAAATAAAATATGGGTAGACAGAAAAATGATGACATATTTTCTGCTTTTCTAGGCAAAAATGTGTCATGACTTTTCAGATTTTTATATTATTTAAAGCCTACAAAAAAAGAGAGAATTACAAAAGGACTATAAAAAGAAACTCATACTGGGACCAGCAGTTAGCGTAATGGCTATGTCGCTGGACTCCCATGTAGTCAACCGCAGTTCAAGTCCCTGACCCGGTGGCTTAAAACTCACGCCGGGCGCGTGTGCATGCATGCCCAAGATCCCAAGAGGAGAAGAGATTGAGGCATGGCCATCCCCCATGGGGGGTGATTTCTCACTTTCTATCTCTTTGTCTCTCTCTGTCTGTCTGGCGAGTGCACGCGCCCTATAGCAAAAACCTCTTCAAAAAAAAACTCATACTTTTTTTTTTTTTTTTTAGATTTTTGCAATAGGGTGTGGGTGCTCACCGGAAGGTCAAAGAGAGATAGAAAGCAAGAATCACTTATTATTATAATTTTAATTTGCAGAGGGACCAGCAGTTAGCGTAATGGCTATGTCACTCCCATGTAGTTGACCACGGTTTGAGTCCTGGACCTAGTGGCTTAAATTCACGCTGGTCATGTGTGCGTGTTTGCCCAAGATCCCGAGAGGAGAATGGAGAAGGAATTGCGGCACGGCCATCCCTCTGGGGGGTGATTTCTCGCTTTCTATCTTTCTGTCTTTCTGGAGAGTGCATGCGCCCTATAGCAAAAAAAAAAAAAAAAAAAAAATCCCCCCCCCCCCAAGGGTGAGGGCCACTCTGCAATCCCTTCTATCCCTTCTCCCCCATTCCTCTCAGGATCATGAGCATATATACAATAATTATTATTTTGAGCCAGCAGGTGGCATGATAGTTGAGGGCACTGGACTCCCACATGGCCAACTGTGGTTCGAGTCCCAGACTTGGCAGCTTACTTTCTTACTTTCCCTTTCTTGCTGGTCAAATTGACAGAATGAATGAATGAATAAATGACAGAAAGAAAGAAAGGAAGGAGGGAAGGAAGGAAGGAAGGAAGGAAGGAAGGAAGGAAGGAAGGAAGAAAGAAAGACAGAAAGAAAGAAAGAAAGAAAGAAAGAAAGAAAGAAAGAAAGAAGGAAGGAAAGAAAGAAAGAAAGAAAGAAAGA